ATAAAAAGTTTGGGAACCACTGCACTTTGGTTCCCAAAGTTGGGCTTGGGACCAAGTTTTTGCCATGAATATTTTGTGGGTCAGAAGATAAAAAGTTTGGGAACCACTGCACTTTGGTTCCCAAAGTTGGGCTTGGGACCAAGTTTTTGCCATGAATATTTTGTGGGTCAGAAGATAAAAAGTTTGGGAACCACTGCACTTTGGTTCCCAAAGTTGGGCTTGGGACCAAGTTTTTGCCATGAATATTTTGTGGGTCAGAAGATAAAAAGTTTGGGAACCACTGCACTTTGGTTCCCAAAGTTGGGCTTGGGACCAAGTTTTTGCCATGAATATTTTGTGGGTCAGAAGATAAAAAGTTTGGGAACCACTGCACTTTGGTTCCCAAAGTTGGGCTTGGGACCAAGTTTTTGCCATGAATATTTTGTGGGTCAGAAGATAAAAAGTTTGGGAACCACTGGTTTATGGGATATTATGCTAACAGACAAGCACACATACCGGCAAAACTATAACTGCTCACTGTTCCTCCWTCTGCAGCAGGTAAAACCACAGGCTGTTGTTGAACACCACATTTTACCAGCACAGCCAGTCAAACTGATGTCAGGAGAAATAAGTCCAGTCTGACCTGCCAGTGTCCTCCTCTTCTTTGTGTTAAATCACTTCTGTGCTCTGTAAGCAGCTCGTTAGCTTTTACCAAACAGTAAAACAAGACAAGTGTGGCTTTCTATCAGAGCAGCTCCAGCTGCAGCTGAGAAAAGAAGCAGACGTCACTGAATGTTTGAGCTGACTCTGCCTGTTTTACTGCCTGTGCTCCATAAAGCCTCATGACTGCACCAGCATCCTTATCTGCCTCCTCTCCAGCTGCTCAGTCCTCCTCCATCCCCTCATCCCAGCTCTAATCTGCACAGCCTGCCAGAGGTTTCTTGTGCCAGTGAGGGCTGTGGAGCTCTGACCAACGAGCCCACTCTTCTCACGGCTACGAAAAGCAAGATGAAAAAGCTGGAACAACAGAAATCACAGGCCTGTATCGTCCACCTTTCAGACAAGTGTTTTAGACCAAGATCAACTTGTGTTGAGAAATTAAAGAGCTGACTTTTTGTCACATCTTGAAAACATTTCACACAATCTCATCTATTACCACACTCAGTTTCATCTGTCTGTAACTTCACTGAGTCTGCCATTTTTGCATGGACTGGTGTTTATTAGCTGTGGCAGCCATCTTGAACTGAGCTGACTGAAAGTTAGTCAGTTATAGATTTACTGATTACTTTCTGAAGTTTCATTAAAACCCATTTGTTTCACTAACAAACAGACAAAGTTGATTCAGTGTGAAACAGATCTCACAACAAGTTGGAAATTAATCTCAGCTACATCACACTAAAGTTTCATTTAACATCTGTAAAACTGAACCAGCAAAACATAGAGATTGTGTCAGTTTAYATGATGTTTAATGTCTTTTATCATTTTGTGATAATTGTGTGATAATAATAATAATGCTTCATAATATCATTTCTTTTCTTCTGTAAGTTTTTCAGCATCTAACTCCCACAATTTTTGTGCTGTTTCAACAATTCATGTATCAAAACGTTCAGCTCATTCATGTGAGGGCTGCTATGACTTTTCGTATTTCAGCTTTTTACACTTTTTCAGCTATTTCACTTTTTTAGCCACTTTTTTGCCATTGAAAATGAATGGAGCTGTTTTCAACATCCTTAAACTCCTTTAAAATATTTCTAAATCTTTACAGCACCTTACACATTTTATTCTGGTTATGCTCTTTTTCACTTTCATGTGCTAACTGTAGCTACAGTTTTGGTAATTTGAGCTTTTTTCCTGATATTTCAGCTAAGATGCTGCTCCTTTCTGCTATTCTTATGTTTTTTCCTACCTTTTGTGCCTTTTTTCTGCTACTTTGTTCTTTTTATGCTTCTTACAGTTGATTTCTGCCATAATGAGCTATTTGCTGCAATTTTAGCTAATGTTTAGCTGCTATTAACTAAAATTAGCTTTTCTAAGCTAAATACACATTTTTTGTAGCTATTATAACTTTTTTCAGTTAAGCTCAGCAAACTTGTACTTCCTTATCCTAATTTTTAAAAACTAGCTACACTTTAGCTGTTTTACAGAAGATTTCAGCTGTTTTAGCTATTTTACTACAAATTACCACTTTTTTATAATTACATGTATTTTTTTGTGCAAGTTTTACATTTTTTACAACCTTTATCTGGGTGCTAATTTCAACTTGTGCCAGCTACCTTTAGCCTTTTTATACTAATTTTAGCTATTTTATGCTACTTTAGCTATAGCTCTGATTCTTTCTGCTATTCTTATGCTTTTTCTACCTTTAATGCATTTTTTCTACCACCTAGTGCCATTTATGCTTCTTAGCTTATTTTATGCTAATTTGAGCTTTGTTTACTATTTTAGCTGTAGATCTGCTTCTTTCTGCTATTCTTATGCTTTTTTCAAGTTCTTGTGTTTTTTCTGCTAATTTGTGCTACTTATGCTTCTTACAGATGTTTTCAGCT